AAAAAAAAAAAAAAAAAAAAAAAAAGTCATGAAAACCTCACAAAGATTGGGGTTTAATAAGTTGAGTCCAGTCAATTCATGGAAGTATCTGGTTTTATCTGTTAGTGCAATTAGTGGTCCTTGATTAATTGTTTAAGAAATTAATATAGGAAAAAAAAATTGTAAAAAGATATATATGTGATGATAAATGGTGACTAATGCAATTATGCAAAATTGTATTGATGCCCATGCAAAGTGATTTAAGTGACATATATGCAACAATTTCTACCAAAAAATGACTCAACTATTCATAGTGTACAGTGTGCAAATTGGACCCATTCACCATATTCACATATAAAGTCCACTTTTTTATTTATTTTTTATATATTTTTATTGGCCATCAGTGTTCAATACAAAAACCAACATGACTTCCTCAATTTGACAGATTATATTAGTCGATTTAATTTGTTATTGATCATTTTTTATACACGGTATATGTTGGTCATTTTTTGAAAAAGTGTTCAATAAAATTTGTGATACATTTAGAGAAAAATTTTAATAGCACTCTCCTTAGACCATGTTTATCCGTGACCCCATCCATTGGATCACTGCATTAAAAATAAAAAAAAAAAAAAAAAAGAAGGGCGTAACTTTCTGCGACCCAGGTCACAATGTGACCTTGGGTCGCGACCCTCCCTTTAATAAATATGGGACATTTGTCTTATTTTTAATAGGTAAATGTATTTTTTAGTATATATATATATATATTATACTGAAATTTATATTTTTTAATTTTCTACAAATAGATACCACACTTGATATATTTTGAAATAAAATTGAAATTTTTAAATATATTAAAATGAAATAAATATTTAGGTTGAGTTGGGTTGGGGATAAAGATTAATCGAGTTGATTGAGTTGTGTAGGTGAAAGAGAGAGAGAATAATTTTTAATAGTTAAATAATCACTCTTTCAACACAGACACTTTCCCACACGATAGTCGAGTTTGAAAAACAATACAAACAAAAATATGCATATTTATTATAAAAGTATATGAGTAGTTAGAGTTAACATCAACATTTGCGATTCTCAAATCGATTAGTTTAATTTATTAATACTTACAAACACTATTATTAATTGAATAATGCTACTTTAACATAATGTATTTTACACAATGCTTGACATAATGATGTGCAAGTATATTGAGTTGTTGATTATAAATGTGATGCCATGTGTAAAATCACACTTTGCTCTAGTGTCGAACTTTGGGGTTTGTTTCAGATTTTGACGCTTGCATGGGAGATTAGGGCCCGCAAGATGGTGGTGGAGGTAGATAACCTGAGCATTATTGTGATGGTCCGTGGAGATGAAGGAGGCGGTATACACAAGGGATTCTGCGAAGGATATAAGAGTTGTTATGTTGGCCATGGCATGTAGTTTTGCAGCATGGTTATCGAGAAACAAATTTTCTTGCCCATTTTTGGCCTCCCTTGCGGCGTAGGGGCCTGGCGGAGTTCAGTGTTTCGGGTGCGGGGACTTGGCTTGCTCATGTGTGGTAGGAGACAGTCAGGGGCAGACGCAGAAATTTGAAATGAGAGGGGCACAATTTAACTTTCACGAATAACTTATTACTAGTACAATACCTGTGTATTACACGAGTGCTTGTTAAAAATATATTCTTAATTTCTAAAATTAATGAGAAAAATAATTGTAAATTTTATATACCTTTTTTACGAAAATATATTATTATATATTTTATAACGACACTTGTTACTCGTGCGACTTACATATGTTATATTATATTATTTTTGTAACTTATATCATATAACTACTTGAAATATAAATGTATTAATTGATATATAATTTTATTTTTATAATTAATATTAAAAAATAATTTTACTATTGTTATAGATATAAAAATAATTTATTTTTTATACATAGAATATGTATGTTAAATCGAAGCTCATCATGAGATGATTAATTTGATATATTATATATGTAAAACTGATAATAAAATATAAAATTTATCAACTTTTAAAATACATTTACAATTCAATGATTATAATAAAAAATTATATTAAATGCAATTATTACATGTAACATGACCATAAATAATCAATATATTTATGGATAATCTGGACCTAATTATTTTTGGATTGGAAGTAAATTAAAATCTACCCAAATCTAATAATGAAGCATGTAATTTTGCCACATAGAATCCCAAAACATGCAAGCCTGCCACTTAGACATAGCACGTTCTGAATTATTATATGGGGGGATTTATTACATTAATATATCATTATATATCCTTTCAAATCTACTTTACTTAAATTATATGTTATTAAACTATCATTCAACTATTAACATTAAATATGATACAAATTATGTTAATTAGAAAACCAATCACACGTACTTTAGGAGCTAATTTTCAAATTATAATTGCAGTTAAAACAATAAAAACATCTGAAATTAAAAAAAAAAAAGGTTATATGTCATCAGTTAATTAGTCATTACAATTAGGATATAATTCCATCAAAATTCGTAAATGCCTAAATTAGTAGAGCTGATATTATTATTACTATTATTACAAACATTGAGATTAATTTCTACTAAAATATAAATCCTGAATGCAATGACTGAGGACTTAAATAGATCACGCATGCGTCTCTTAGCTCTTTTCGAATAATTTAGTTTTATTATTATTATTAATTTTTTCTCTTTAATTTCTACAGGGGCACGTGGCCCTGCCTGCCAGCCCCGTGTGTGTCCGCCTATGGTTTTCTTTTCTTGTAAAAAAAAAAATAATAAATTATGCCTAGTGTCAACCAACCGATTAAAAAAATAAATCATGTCAACCATAATACATTCATTATTAATTAGGGAGAATTTACGATTCTGTTATAAAACTATTCTTTCGAGATTTTTAACTGTTAGATAAATTATTTACGATAATTACATGATGATCTAACGGTTACAAATTCTGACAGAATAGTTACGTACTTGTAACATTTCTCATTAATTGGTTTGATGTAAAAAAATAATTTTATTATACCTCGTCTAAAAGGCACCACCATGCTAAAATGCGCACCCCCAAAATTCCATCCTTTATAAGCACGTCAAAGTCGTATATATTCTACCTCACACAAACATACTCAACCAACTTCGATTCCCAAAACCCACATCAAAATCTCCTTTCCAAATCCTCAAACCCACTCAACAAAACAGCCAAAAAAAAAAAAAGTAATGGTCAAATTCCTCCCTGGCATCTCCGGCGACCGCCGCCGAAACTCAGGCGAATCACCACCTCCCGACACCAATCTCCACTCCTCTTCCTCCTCTTCCTCCTCACTTTCCTTGCAAACAAGCCTCCCCTCCATCCCTTTCCCGGCCTCCAACACCACCGCCCGCCACCATTGCTCCGCCACCATCCGCGCCCACTCCTCCTACGTCTTCTCCCTCGCTATCTCCGGAAATCTCCTCCTCTCCGCCTCCTCCTCCGGCGACCTCCGCGCCTGGGACCTCCTCCACCCCAACAACCACCACTCCTCCTCCTCCGCTTCCGCCCCCTCCCACAGCGCCGTCAAATCCATCGCCGTCCTCCACGACGGCCACCGCTTTTTCACCGCCCACCATGACCACAAAATCCGCGCCTGGAAAATCCAAACCCACAACATCAACAATAACAAAAATAGCAAATACAAAAGAATTTATTTCAATACAATTCAAACCCATAACAACATAACCACTAACAAAACCACCACCACCACCAACAACAACAAATCGAAAACAACCGATTTGAAGCTAATTACTACTCTACCCACGGCTTGGGACCGGTGGTTCATGAACATCTTCTCGGCGAAAAACTACGTGGAGATCCGGCGACACAAAAAATGCGCGTGGGTCCGCCATGCGGACGCCGTGTCGGGACTCGCCCTCTCGCCCGACGGCCTACGCCTCTACTCCGTCTCGTGGGACCGCTCGATCAAGGTGTGGCGAGCGAGTGGTGGATTCCGCTGCGCGGAGTCCGTCCCGAACGCGCACGACGACGCCATCAACGCCGTCGTCTGCTCCCCCGACGGGCTCGTTTTCACGGGCTCGGCAGACAAGACGATCAAAGTGTGGAAACGAAATGATGATAGTAATAAGGGAAGGCACGTGCCAGTAAGCATGCTCGAGGGGCACAAGTCGGCAGTGAACGCGTTGGCTTTGAACGAAAACGGGTCGGTTCTTTACTCGGGCGGGTGTGACCGATCGGTTATAGTTTGGGAGAGGAAGGATAATGAAGGTGGGGTGGTTATGGTGGTGGCCGGAAAGTTGAGGGGTCACCGGAAAGCGATTCTTTGCCTGGCGGCGGTTGGGGATTTGGTTTGCAGTGGGTCGGCGGATAAGACGGTGAGGGTATGGAGGAAGCTGCCGGAGAGTGGCGGTGGCAGTGGTGGTTATTCGTGTCTGGCGGTGTTGGAAGGGCATTTGGGTCCTGTTAAGTGTCTTGCGGCGAGTCGGGATTTTAACGACGACAGTAAAAACGACGAGGGTAAAAATGATGACGGGAAGTTGTACCGAGTTTACAGCGGCGGCCTGGATTTTGATATCAAGGTGTGGGAAATTTGGCCTCCTCCTTAAGTTTTTAATTTATTTTTTTGATGTTTTTGTGTGTTAAATTTTCGTATTTGTGGAATATATGGAATTTGGTTGTAGGGTATAAGGTGATAGAAAGTAGTTTATGTGTAGCTGATGTTGCCACTTCTGTGTTTTGTTGTGGTGTGAGATAAGTGTACAATATTGGACTATACTGTGTAAGTTAAATGAGTCTTGATCAATAAATTGAAGTTGATAATGGATTTTTCCTATTTTACTTAATCTAATCAAAGTTTTCTTGATTATGATAAACAAAATAATAAAACCCTTCGTGAGTTTGGTTAGGCTCGGCTCGTTAAACCAGACAAGCTCGAGCATATATGTTAACGATCTCTCAAACAATAAAAAATATGAATTTTTATGGAATTTGTCTCTAGTTATTTTTATTAAGGCTCGAGTTCTGAGCATCTCCAATGCTCAACTTTCAACATTAACTAAATTTGAACACATGTCAAATGATGAATGCAATGTAAATCCATATAATATAAATGTCAAAAAAGAAGATTTTAATTTGGAATGCACATCTCCAATGCATCTCTTTCAAAAGCTTAAAATAAGTACATGTGGATTTTTATTTTATTTAATAATATATAAGCTAAAAAAAATTAAAAACTAAATCTTGGCAAACATGGAGGAAATCAACGTGAAATAGGTTAGATTTTTGATGAGTTGACTTTTAAACACTCTTTGGAAAAACTAGTAAGTGGGATTCACACTTTGAAAATTTATTTTCTCCATGTCAGCATAAAAGAACCCATAAGATTATGGACGGGAGAGATATCCACTTTATAACTTGATGATGTGGCCAACATTTTATTAAGTCAACATTTTACATTGGAGATGCTCTTAGTACGAGTTGAGAGCTCGCTCGTCAAATTAACAAACTAAGGAGCTTCTGCTCGGCCTCCAATTGTTAGTTTTTTTACCCAAACCCGCTGACTTTATGGATGCCACGTCATTGATAGGTCACCGATACGGTCAAAAGAGCAAAGAAAGGAAAAGAAAGTTGTACCGAAAAAAAAAAAAAGGAAAAGAAAGTTCGACAAGTTGTTGATAGTTGATACAAAACTTGGTTGAGACGAAAGAATACTTGGTAACTCCATGCATGCTTCTCGAAGTATCGTTTGGGTGCCACGTTAAAAGAAATGATGATGGATGGTAGTTAAAAACTGCTTTTTAACCGTTGGATCATCTATCTTATCTAACTACACATAGATCTAACAGTTAAAACACCCGATGAAATAGTACCATATCGAGACTGTAGCATTTCTCACAAATATGAGACTACCTTAAAAAAATAAAGAAAAAAAAATGTGATTTTAGATTAATGTCAACTGCGAAACAATATGATCATGCTCAACTGAAAGCTGGGGTTTCTAATGTTTATTATATGCTCTTCCTGTTAATATTTATGAAATAGATAACATTTATCTCTTCAAAATTATTGTGGTTACCTTATTCCTATGCTGGTCAAATAGATTTAACAATCTGAAACTGAAGAAATAATCTAGGATTTTACCATAATAAGATTGGAATGAAATGTATCCTAAATAATTAAATAAAGGTAAACAAAACAATTCTACAAAATAAATGATTGGAGCCATTATAAACAGCTATCCATCAACCTCCTCTTGAACTTGTCCTTCTGCAGGTTTAAATTTACAGACACAATAGATTAATACACAACCTTAACGACTAAAAGGAAACGACGTTTAAAGAAAAGACATAATTACCCGCGAGTTCTACAGCCAAGTTAGCCTGAGCATCAGCCTCAGAGTTCAAGTGCTTCAACAACACAACATAACAAGTTAGGATGTGCATTCGAAAATCACGGTAAACGTGTATAATTTGGTACTAAGCTTTTTACCCTTAGAACGTGCATAATTTGGAACGAGGCGAATTTGTCCTTCAATTTCTTTGCCTCTTCAAACAAGGTGGAGATGTTTTGGTTTCTAGCTCGCCATTGACCTTGAAGCTTTCGACAGAGACTCAAAATGAGTAATTTATATTATTATTAATCAATTTATGCCAAGAAGTAAACTCGAAAACAAATACCTGCATGCATACGAGTTTCGAGTCACCCCGGACTGTAACACTCGTGAAGCCTCTCCCGATTGCACCCTTCAATCCCAATATGAAGGCACGATACTCGGCCACATTACAGGTTGTTACGCCTAAGCCTTCTCGCAATTTGAGAATCTGAAAGATACAATTTCCACATCAAAAAAAAAATACACAGAGAGAGAGAGAGAGAGATAGATTTATATATATATATATATATTTATGTATTATGCTCACCAAACTTCCATTATCCGAGCGCAGTATAGCTCCTGCACCAGCCTGGCCCGGATTTCCTTTTGAGGCGCCATCAAACTCAAGTGTACATGATGTCTAACAAAACAGTTTTGCGTGGATAAGTTTCTTTCAAGCGAACAATCATTCAAATATTTATTCGACCATTTTTTACAATTATTTTATTTTGCTTTGTTTTGGAAATCCCTAATTCCTACACAAATTTTCGTGCACAACAAGATGTTATAGGTTTACTCTGAAATTAGTATGTTAGTATGAAATACACAGGATAATGATTTTCTCTTACCCCATAATCTGACCACAAAGCTTCGTGCGACCTCTTCTTTGTCACAGGGGGCTCGCTGGAACTCTCACTTGTCGAAGAAGAAACCTGTTGTGTGTAGAAATGAAAAGGAAGGAAAAAAAGAAAAATTACTCGGAAATCACGAAATAATTCAAGAAAAAATACAGAAAGATGGAAAATATAAATTGAGCTTATGCATATACAAAAAAATGATAGCTGTCTGCAGAATATATGTAATAAGTATATTATCACACAACTTAATTAGGTCACATAATAAAAGCAGACGAGCACACTATCTCAAAAACCAGTCATTTATGGAGGTGAACGAATTGAAAATTTTACATCTGAAGATTAAATATGCCGACGACTGCAAGGCAGATCAGCTTACAAACACACACAGTAAGAACTAAGGGAATTATTAATATTTTTTATTCTTTTTCATTTTAAATAAAGAAAAATCAAATATATAAATATCACCTCACCTGTACAGGACACTGCACGAGAGCCCCAAATAGTCCTTCAGTCAGATCAGAAGCTCTGATGGTGTATAATGCATTTTTAAGCCCGCAAGAGATGAGATACTTCTCTGTGTCCTTCGGCATGTTGCAACCTTTGAACACACTTACAGGAGGATCTGATATCTGACATACACAATACACACACGAACACACGCACACAGAGTAAAAATATCAGTCTTCAATTTTCCGGTGAAATAGAACGAGAAGGTAACAAAACAAGAACCGACATTTTTATATATCACTTGCTACTCATGTGTACATTATAGGTAACAATTTTATTTACCTGTAAGATTACGAAAATATGACCACATTTTAGATAGGTAAAAAAAGATTGATGAGCTCCCACAAAGACAAAGCTTCAGATTAGTCAAGAGGCAGATGGGAGAGACTTAACTTTAACAGAACAAATTGATTCAGAAACTAAAAATATAAAGATAAAGAAAAACCCAGTAAATGCACAACATGAACGATTGAGATTAAGATTGGCAAAATATAAGAACAATAGCAGAGAAAGCAACTCAAGAAGATCCAGAAAGAGCAACTATTTTAAAGGCAAATCGAGCATAACGAAACAAGGTTGTATAAACTATACAAATCATCAAAAGCACACAATTGCCTATTTAAAAACATAAATGAAAAAAAAAAGATAACCATTTTTACCAAGGTACCAACTTGAGCCTGACAATCACTTAAGCTTTTGTAGACACCAACAACATCGCCTTTGCGAACAACAAAGAATTCCTCCTTGTCCTTCATCAGTGGCTTCGTCTCGACTTTCCTCTTACGTGAACTTCCGGTTGCGGCCTTTTTTGAATAATAACATTCCGACTGGAATCTTGTCACAAACAATCCCAAGTTTACTTTTCCACCACCCGAGATCGGGTAGCTCGCCACTCGTGAGGGATATAAATACCCACAAGATGGGCTCTTTCGAACAAGAAAGCTGCCCCTCGATAATATATTCGAACAACACGTATAGAACAAACCAATCATTCCAGAGTTGTCTCCTTTGTATCCCCCAGAGATTCTGCAATCATCATAATTCATAACCACATTTTCTTCACTCATGCAGAAATTCAAAACAAATGCATAAAAACAAACACAGATTAGCATACTATCACAGGAAACAAACATGAGGAAATTAACAAGACCAAACATATCCCTAAAAAAAAGGGGAAGAAGACAGTAATATTGAAAAATTTGACCTAATTAATCAAGGCCCGTTTATTTAACCACCAAATTTATCAATGCAAACAGCTGAATAATACAAAAAAACAAACATTTCAAACCTCGCTTTGAAGAACTGAGTTAGCAAAGGAGCGTAGGCATAAAAGGAGAAAATTATAAGAAAAAAAAAAAAGGTTTATAGATTCAGCTAAAAAACGGGATAATCGAAATCGAAACAAAATGGAGATCCGATCAACAAATACCTTAAATCTAAGTGAACTCCAAATCTCCGGTGAATTTCAAAACCCTTTACTCTCTCTGCATCTTTAAAGGTTCAAGCCTCCTCCGCGGTTGGGTCGGGCCGTCGTAGGCGAAAGTAGAGACAATATATGTTTTTTTTTCTTTACGCTTAATGGGCTTTCCTGTCTTGTTGGGCTTTTATTTTCTAGACTCACAATGGATTATCATGGCCTGGCCCAGAGGCTTTTCTAGACCAATGATGCCGAGTATATTTACACTATGGAGCTATATATAACTAGAGGTGGCCATTCAACGGGTCGGGTCATGGTCCATCCCGCCCTCCGGCCGACGGACCTCAAATTCATGGCCCTTGACCGGCCTTAACCGACGAGTCACCGATTCGTCGGTTTTTTACCGGTTCCGGGCCGGTTCGGCCAATATAAAAAAAGTAAAAAAACACAACACCGCCCGTCTTTCAATTCGCGGCCCAGACCGCCAGGACAAAAAAAGAAACAGAACCGACTCGTTTCCACGGTTCAGGTTCATAGAACCGCCAAAATTTAGGCCGGTTAAGGGCCGGTCCAAGACTGGTTCGGCGCCGGTACGGCGGGTCGGCCGGGTTGGCCCTTGGCCACACCCTATATATAACATTGATCTTAAATCGGAGCTATATAACATTGGAAACGCGGATATATTGTGAGACGATGAGATGAAAGAAACCAAAAAACTCAGGACGAGAAATGAAGAGTGGACTGAATTAAAAAAAGAAAAAAAAAATATTAACGAAATGAAAAAAAATGGAATAATAAGTAAAAAAAGTAAAACAAGCTAGACCAAAATTCTAATTTGTTAAATCAATTACAGATTATATTTATAGTTGAATAATATTTCAAATAGCAAAACTGACACCGACCGAAATAAAATTCCGATTGGTTTTCCGGTTTTAGTCTAACTTTGAACACTCCTAGGTGTGGTGTAACTGAAATTTGAAAGTGTGGTCGGACTCGGATGAAATATGACTTTAAAAGGTTTGAGTCATTCAGAAAAGTTCAGTTAAAATCGCATCTTTTGAATATAAAAACCGATTCGCTTTCAATTTCTTAACCGCATTGCAAATGTACCTATCCAAAAATCGACCTAACTGCACCGAATACATCGGTTGGCTCGGGTATTCAATTTCAGCTA